AACCCCAAAACCCCAAAACCCCAAAACCCCAAAACCCCAAAACCCCTAAAAAATTTAATATAATTGATTTGATAAATATAGTATGAACTCCCAGTTTCCAAGACTTAAGGGTAGAGCAGGTAATGAGATGATGAAGAAGTGGATGGTGCAGGGGGGGTTGATGAGAGGGTATATAAATTGGAGTGGGTATGGGGTTAGTTTGAAGAGATTCAGACAAGTTATAAGCTTTCCAAGTTTCAATTTAAGTAGCTGGAAGACTTCATTCATTAGCTAAGCGATAAAAATTATTATGCACTTAAAGAAAGAAATTTCACATAAAATTATCAAGTTTTAGGAGAAAAAGAATTATTTTCCTAATTCATAGTCTCTCGTAATATTATTCGGTAGATATAATTATGTAGCTTTCTAAATTAAGTAGTAAGTTTTGAAATTATATGAAGTTTTCTATTTAGCGGTGAATTATATTCTTTTGACCACTAATGCAAGGGATATGAATTAAATCGATGCTTTAGTCATATCAGAATTAGCTATTATTAAAATATTTATTAACAACAATTAATTTTATAATAGTAGCGATTTTGTATCCTAAACAGTTGCATACTTATAGTCAATTAATGAGAAAGAAGTGGTAGACTATTTAAAATTCAGAGAAATGAAATAATAAAATACCAGTGCGCATTTTGGAAGATTGGTTATCTATTAAAATAAGTTTTAGACTAAATCTCAAGTATTGCATTTTATGAGAAGCTATTACATTTAATATTTTCTTTCTGAAAATATTATCAATTTTTTCTTTTGGATTATTATTAGCTTTGGTAAGGACGCATATAAGTCACGATTATTATTTGTATGGATTTCGCAATAAATATTCAGCTATTTAGTCATTTTTAAATAATCATGAAATTTTCAATATTAGTGAAACTGATTTCATACTGGGAATGAAATTCTGATGAAACTTTAAACATAATCTCTAGATAACAAAAGAATGCCAGTTATAAAAAGAAATGGAATCAGTCCTATTTTTGACAGATCTCTTAATGACTCCAAAGGAAGGTATTGACACTTTATATAAAGCATTTTAGACCTAACTCGATCAAGCGTGAACAATTTTCTCCTTTTGCTTCTTCTCCTATTCAGCTTAACCGCACTTTGGGTGCGGCTGAGGGCCAAGAGTTTCGTGAAAAGTATGGAAATTACATTCAAAAATTTGGTGGATTATACAACCCTGGGTTCTCTTATAACAATTTGTTCAATGAAAATTCAAACCAGGGCTGGAACAAGTTCCTTGGTATTATCAAGCATACTCCCATCAGAGAGAACACAATGAGTGTGGTAAAGAATATGAAAGCAAAGAAGAAGATCCTAGATAGCGTCAAGAGCAATAAGAACAAAAAGTTGCTGCTTGAGAATGAGAACATTCTTAAATGATACGCCTTTGAAACTTTCTTTAAAGACAAGAAAAATGAAATGAATAAAAAGACTAAGAAGGATAATTTTGATGTCGGTTCAAATAAGCCTAGAAGGTGAGAGAATAGTTTTATTGCTATAGAGGAAGCTCTGCCAAGAGACCTAGTAGAAAGGATACCGATAAGATGATAGTCAGCCTACTTGGAGACACTCACTTTTTAAACGAAGTTAAACAAAGCACTAAATAAATTCATTGCTGATGAGAATAGAGTTAAGTCAGAAGAAGCTATAAATACAAACATTATTCAGGCAACAACACCGATTCTGAAAAAGAAAAAGTCTCCAGGTAATTTGCATGGCTAAAATTATGAAAGTCTTTATTTCGAAAAATACCTTTCTTTGTAGCAATTTTTTGTCCACTTTTTGTTCTCTTATTAAATATTTAGACAATACTTCATGGAAGAGAAAGATAGTCCCTGGAGACAAGACAATGACGATGCAATTCTCTATGAGAAGCAGCAGAAGGTTAAGAGATATAAGAGATTCTGTGAAAAGATGCACCATATTCACAAGAGAGTCTATCATAAAGAAGAGTAATTTTATCAAATAATTTCGTAGATGCCATTCCAAAATTCAGCTTCCTTAATAAAGGAGATAGGACTAATGCATTTGACAATGTAAGGAATATTATTTGAGTATAAATTTAAGATTATCTGTACTTCTTAAAGAATTTTAAACAACTTAATCACTGATTTCTATAGATCATGAAGCTAAATAACTTCTCAAATTCGAAAAGACAAGAAGAGAGCGCATATAGGTTTGTAGAATATATTATAATATCACTAACAAATAATTTCTATGTTAGAAGAAGCTTATGCGATGTTAGAAATTTTTCGAAAAACTAAGACTTGATTTGTTCAATACATATAAGACATAAGATAGATTTAGAGAGAAAAATTGATGCTTCTCCTATAAAAAAGAAATAGCTGATTTCATTGTAAGCCAGGCTTCTTAACATGCTCCCGGCTTAATAGTTTGAGCTAAGCTAAATTTATTTGGTATTGATAAGAATGATTCTGAAGATTCCATTATCAATGTCATTTTCTTGGATCGAAGACATGTTAATATAAATATAGCTTCTCATCAGAGTCTGAGAAAGAGGTAGAGGACACAGTTGATGATACCGAATTCGATAGACATAGAGGTTTTCTGATCCCATCTACAAATCCACATTATTCTGTGTTCTCTAGCAAGAATAGTTTCACAGTGCATGAAGATGACATTATTCAGGAAAATGATGAAAAGGAGGAGCCTGTGCTAGATTACACCCCTAAACTAGACAAACTTGGCAATATAAGGAAGAAATTCACTTTTATCAAATCTGGCAATGGTATGAGCAGTGTAGAGAAGGTTAAACAATCTATCAGTAATAAGTCAGGATTGATGAATTTGAAGAAGAGTTTACACAGTGCATTAAAGAGGACAAATCCAAAGCCTATAGGAAGAAACCGATTCAAGAGTATATCTCCCGTAACTAGCAAGAAAGAAATGATTCAGAAGACAAGGGATAGGCTAAAGAGCATGGATCAGAAGTGTCAAACTTCTACCAAACCACACAACACTCCAAACCCATCTGCTTTTAGAACGACCACCAGAAAGTTCAAATTTAATAAAAAACATTAATTAAAAATTACGATTCCCAACATCCACTTAAGCCCATGGGGTTTTGGGGTTTTGGGGTTTTGGGGTTTTGGGGTTTTGGGG